ATACATCTCTTGAGACTTTGAAATAGCTTCAGTGGTAAATGAAAACGAGTCCAGAACATAGAACTCTTTGATGATTCTTCCTGCTGCAAGGACCTTGCCAGTTTTAAGGTCCTGCAGAAGACAGAAATCAGCAAAGAATTTAAAGAACAAGTTTGAGGTTTTTGTCAATTTTCTGACTGAAAGCAAATTGTACTTGAAACTAGGCAGGTGCAAACATGATGTCAGAGTGACAGATTCAGAGATTGTAATATCTCCAAAATGAGTAACTGGTTGTATACTACCATCTGGTAGCCAAACGGGTATATAAGAATCAAAGGTTTTGATGTTATGCATTAATGAAATGTCAGTGCACATATGACCTGTAGCTCCTGTGTCTATTATCCATGAATTTCTACTAATATCAGATGCAATCCAAGAAAAAAGAGCATAAGAAGAACTACCTGCAAAATCATGGTAGTGTGCCATATTCACTGAGTGCCCTACTCCAGTATTGATGATCCCCTTTCCTTTACTGATACGTTCAACTTCCTTCTGCACTGCATTGTTCAACATTTGCTGATATGAGTCCTTACCCTCAGCACCAAAATCCAATGGTGTAAGGCTCACATTGCCATGATTATAAGTCTGTGTCTGTCCTTGCTGCCCATAAGGTACCATCCCTCCAGTATTTCCAGCTGAACCTGTCTGTGTTGAGACAACTTTATTAATGCCTTGATTCATTGATGTTGCAATAGCTTGTGGATATTCAATCACGTTTGCTGCATTGAAACCCGGTTTCCTTCCCTTTGAAGTAGGCCACCAGTCAGGATATCCTTTGATCTTAAAACAGTCTTCAACTAAATGTCCTGGTCTCAGACAATGAGTACATTTCAGATGACTCTTGTCAATTTTCTGATATCCTGAATGATTTTGATTTCTTCCTGTCACTTCCTTTTTCCAACCAGACGATCTTGCTAACATCGCTGAACTTTCCGACCCTTGCATCATCATTGCAGCATTATCTGAGGTGGCAGTTATGTGAATACTCACTTGCCTATGTTTCTCAGCAGTTGTAATCATATGATACACCTTATCAATAGAAGGTATAGGATCCATGAACAATATTTGACTTCTCTCCGGTTCATAAACATCATTAAGCCCCATCATAAACTCCATTACCTTATCCTCATTTTCCCTTCTCACAATCAGATCTCCAATCTCTCCTTCTATCTCAGGAGTTGGCCTTAATTCTTCATATTGATTCCAGATTTGTTCAATCTTTCCAAAGTAGTCACTGACAGTTAAATTTCCTTGCCTAAGCAGAGCAATTTCCCTCTTTAATTCAAACAAATGCGGCAGATTAGTCTTACCAAATCGTTGTTCAAGGCTCTTCCATAACTTCCTTGCATCATGTACAAACATGAACTGATTCATCAAGTCTGGTGCCATGGAACTTTTAAGCCAAGAACACACCATGCTGTTTGCTCCTCCTCCATTTCAACAGAATTGGTGAATCTTCTGCTGGCATCGGAAAACTTCCATCCACAAAGCCTACCTTCATTTTTGCTTCTAATGCTGATATCATAGCACATCTCCATATCAGATAATTCCTGCTTGTCAATAAAACCGAGACAATTTGAGTTTCAGGACTCTCCGATCCATGCACATGTTATCCATTTCTATCAAGGAATTTAGTGAATCTTCGATTCAATTTCAAAAAAGAAATGTCAAGTTTCAGTTCTGATTAGCTAGGGTTCTTGAGCTAATCAAAGAAGACGGAGAAAGAAAAAAAACAATCCAGTAAAAAGAAAATCAAGCGGAAGGTAGAGTAGAGCAGATTTACACCTACTCTGATACCATAAAGAATCTGCAAGAATCAATCATACAAAATGGAGTATCGAGCAAGAAGAAGAAAACTTGGAAAACTAACTTTCTAGATAAACCTCTTTTCAGTATTTTCTCACATAATCTGTATGTTCCTTTACATGTATATATACATCTCTTCTAAGCTAAATTCCTAATTATTTACAGAGAGGAAGAAAACACTCCCAATCTCATCCATTGATCTATACAACCGACTTAGTGAACAAACTAAATCAACGTCCAAGATTCAAGGGACTTTAAAATCTGTGGATTGCTGACATGGCTTGCCACTCCTTCTAGATGGATTAACTTCGGTTGCAGCTGCTACTTTCGTTGATGAACCAGACGTTGATGAAGAAGCAGATGTTGATGAAGCAGATGAATAATCCAATAATCTGCACTAATTTAATTTTGCCAGAGTTATTCGGTCAAACATTGAAACTTGCATTATCAAATGATAAAGCACTAAGCTGAATCCAAACGCGTGAGATCTTGCTCTGACTCACATTTACTAGATGTAGTTAATTAATGGTTACATAATAATTTGAAATATCCGATTATTTTCAAGTTATAAAACTCATCGCGTGACTAATTTGGTGTTTAAATTGTAACCTAAGGGTTTAAGTGCCAAAGAGCATCTTGCTACCATATCTTTAGCACAAAAGTTAACTGTATTAATTAGTAAATATTAGTTCGAATTGAGTTTTAAGATTTCTATTGTTCAGTATATATTTTACAACTCAATATGTATTAGTTTTTTTGGGGATATAGAAAGTGGCCTATAATTCAAATTTTCTAACATTGGGTTCTCTTCAATTGATTTCGAAATCAGAATATGATTATTGATGTCCGGGAACCTTGTACTGTTAGTGTAAATGGCTATGGGAGAGAATTTGGGTTAAAATATTGGAAATGTAACGCAAGCAAGTAGTGTTAACGCGGTTTTTACAGGCGTGAAAATTTCAGTGTTGGAATTGAGGAAACTTCAATCCTCCACTCTACTGTCCTACTAAGTTGCAATGGCTGGTTTCATCAACTCATTCCGTTATAAATCAGTAAAACCAGCTCATTCTCTCTGGAGATCTCTTCTCGGTCCTATCATTTAATTCTAGATGAAACATGATGTTCATTGCATACAACAGTTAGAAACCAAGATACGAAACACCGATAAGTTAAAATTTTTTCCTTAGAATTCTTCCTCAAACACTAATAAATCATTATCACTTTTGACCATAACAAGACTTCCTCCATAATGCGAATTTAGATGTTGTGAAGGAGAATTTCTCATGATTCAGCTATCTCATATCTTCTCAACTGTCTCAACTTTTTCAATACTATATATTGTACTTTTTTCATTCATCATTATCTTAGTAAATATATGTGATTCTTGAGCAGCTGGTAAGCGTTGTCACCTGAAGGGTTGCAAAAACTCAGGCAGCAAAGCCACTCAACACAGTCGCGCAGCCAATGAAGGAGCATCCTAATTGAAATCCCGCCGCCTAATGAGCCAAGATAACTAGAAGAACATGAACTGAGATGGAACATATTTAGCAAGGAACTCAAGGGAGCTTACCCAATAAACAAATCTAATATCTACTGACGCAACCAATCTATTTGTAATTGAAGCTAAAAAGACATCATCCATTGATATTCGGGCTAACAACAATTTTTACACGGATGATCTCCGAGAAGGCTGGATCTTCCCGATCCCGTAAACATCTAGAAGTAGTACTCTGTTTTCAGATTGCAGAGTTGCCATTGTTTAGATATCGTGGAAGATTTCTTCTCTTTTTATTCGGACAAACTGTGGATAACAACTAACAAGCCATTTATGTTTAAATTCATCAGAAAAACTGAAACAAAATTGATGTATGAATTTGGAGTGGTGAGTGTATAGAGAAAGAGAAACATAATAAGATAGAAAAAGAATGACTGAAAAAAAATGGAAGATTGAAAGTTGAGCTGTGCCCAGTGAAAGTTTTGAAACCTTTCAATTTAATTACAAGATGAAATGAAAATATATAGCAGAAAATAACTCATGTTACTGTTATATTAAACGACGGTAGATGTAAAAATAAAACATAAAAATTAAAATGGTGTACTATCTTGTTGGTAAATATCCCCGAGACCGTAGAGCAAAATTTACACTTTTAGTTTGGTTGGTAAATGAATTTCAAATGATGAACTACTTCACTTTGAATTGAAAATCATCTTTTGGATCGATTCTTTTTCCAAAATCAAAGCCAACATAACTTAATCATGAAGCAAAATCAAAGCCATTTCCCCTGCATTTCCTTAGTCACCAAACCACCATTTCAACCTCTCCAACGGCCTTCCTTTGCTCAAATTCTAGGATCTAATGCAAAAACTATATACAACCTTTCGGGAAAAAAACAATCTCTCACCCCAATTGTAATTCAATCAGAATCATCTTTCTTCAAAGGAGAGCCAACTTTTCTTCTAACAAAAGAAGAAGATGAACTTTTGGCAGCCCCCTTTCAACTTGCCCTCATCGGTAAATTTACCAAAGGCCGGCCGAAAATGGATTATTTGAGGAATGAATTCCAAACTACTGGCTTCAAAGGAGACTTTTCCATTGGATCGATTGATCCTTGACATATCCTCATCTACTTTGACCTTGAGGAGGATTATTATCGCTGCTGGTTAAGAGGTTTATGGACCTTCGACAAGTACCGGATGCGAGTTCTCAAATGGACCACTGATTTTAATCCGGTGCATGAAAGCTCCATTGTTGCAGTCAGGATTGCCTTTGAAGGCCTTCCCATTCTTCGATTCAACAAGGCTCATTGGAACTAGCTAGTATTATTGGAACTCCTCTACAAATTTACGTTCCAACCCTCAACATGTCACGACCATCTGTGGCACGAGTCTGTGTAGAGTTGGATGTCCTTAAGAAGCATCCTACACGAATCACACTGGGTTTTGAAGGGTAAACATACTTTCAATCAATCTTTTATTAGAATATTCCACAGTATTGTGTTGAATGCAAGAAGATTGGACACGATCTTCAATCCTGTCGACACAATACCACAGCATCATCTATGCAAAAGATTGAGTAGCATCCAACACACCAAACAAAACAGCAATCAAAAGAAAAGCAAACACCTGCGAAGGACTTGAGTAAATCAACGCCGAAAATGGGAGAAAAATCTTCGGTCAATTCAATTGTGGAGGAAAATTTGTCGCCCTTATCTCATATTGCGTAGGTCACTGCTGTGTCAAAAGTCAGGCAGGTTGCAGCTACGGTCACTGAGGTTGCGCCGGTTGAAGCAAATCAATCGCTGACCATCGCAGTTGTTGCGCAGCCTGACCGTCACAGATTGCTGAGCCATCCGCAGCCAACAAGGGTGGAGAATTGTCCGCGAATCTTGCTCTCCCTGCGAGCCAAACACTCGCCGAGAATAAAAAAATCTGATGCCGATGCTGCTGCCGCGGCCGTCCCTGCTGCTACCGCTGCAGGTGATGTTTCTATCACCGGAGAATCATCACTGACTGTAGCTTCGCCTGCGGAGCCTTCTCTCACTACGAGTCAAACACTCACCGAGAATCAAAAAGCTGATGCGGATGCTGCTGTCGCTGCCGTCGCTGTTGCCGCTGAAGTGTCTGTTAAAATTTACCCCCCTCCTGCAAAAGTGACAATGGTGAAAGTTTAAAGTTAAATAATGATTTGGCCAAGTTAATCGACACTGTACAACATAAAAGACAAATTTTCCAATCAACTTAATTTGGCACCAAGAGACGAATCATTATTTTGGAGTGGGAAAATCAAATACAATTGTTAATGGGCGGGGCTTAATATGTAGTCTGCTAACTGACATTTCAATTCGATGGGAACACGGGGAAGATTTCATTTTATGTGAAGATTAAGAAAAAGTGCATAATGGAGTTTACATAACATAGATCTCGGATCATGACATGAAGGGAGACATTAGTCAATTATATTATTTATTTTACACGCTAGTACTAGCACACGTAAATTAATAAGAGGAATTACATGTTAAAATATATAATCTCCCCGTCCCAAAAAAAACTAAGTGTTTTCTTCAAAATATTATATTTTAATATGACAAGGTCGGATTTTGAAAATCCGGCCTTCTCTTAATATTGATTACTGTAATTAATTTTTCGTATTAAGGGAAGGTCGGATTTTGAGAATCTGATTTACTGTGAAAATCGGATTTTAGGAATCCGATGTCGGTATTTTGCTCTTCTCCGAATTTCGACCTATATTTCTCTTTTTTCCTATTTCTGGGCCATTTTTTTAATCAAAAACTCGCTTTATATTACTCTAAATTAAGGTCTCTCATCCACACAACTGACGCGGCCCAACTTTCACTTTGAACACTAATCTCATCTCTCTTTCCGGCTGCATCATTTTGCGTGGACTCCTCCCTCTAGCTAAGTGTGTTTCTGATTTCCAAATCACTCAAATCAATTGATATCTTTCATGATCTCTTGAAAATAGTTTTTTTTTATATAGAAAAAGAGAGGAGATGAAATATCCCACAATAGCTGAACCATTACAAAAGCAATTTAAAATTTTCTATCCAGTTGAGTTCACCTTCGAAATCGATCCTGGAGGATTGATTTAACGCTTAAAATCCCCTGAGTTCTTTGCTAAATTTGCTTCATCTTGTTCTTCATACCCAATTAAATGGCGAAGACCGTGAGATTCCCGTGGGGTTGTCGAACAGTTGAGCATTGCGGACAGCACTTTATGGAGAGGTGTTCCATATGCTCTTCAGGGTGCAGCAATTCGTTCCTCTTTACATTTCCAACTCATTGTTGTGAAATTATAATTGATGTTAAACAAGGAAGAAACGAACGACTTTTGTTTGTCTACAACATGTCATGCATTGTCCCTTTGAATTCATACTAGACAATCTAACAATTTTAAACAATGCAGAAAGTAGCAAGTTGCATTTTGTATACACAATGTATATACAAGTGAATTGAATTGAACTAGATACACATCATCGTGTTCCTATATTATTTTGAATAGATTTCAACTGCTTAACAGGCATCCGAGAAACAATCTTCACTTCGAGCGAAATATTCCAAATTTCTTCAAAAGAAAATAAGAAAGAAAAATCTTCAATCGGGACATGACCTTCAGTCCTATATACTCCATTGCATTTGGAAGAGAGCACTTCGACTTTTGTATGCTTCCAGGATCTCTAACACCTAGCCAAATGAGAAATAACGGGGACAAAAGTTGTTAGCCCTCCGTGGTTCCCTTTTTGCTTCAAAAGATCAGTTGGAATTGATAAATACTATTAAAACACAAAATACTATTAGATCAATGGGGAATTGATAAATACTATTAAAACGCAAAATATGTGCATCATGTGAGGTCTCTATAATATTTGTAAATTAGATTATTGTGTTAGAAATGGATTCTGGACACTGGGTTGCTAAAATATATACAGTATAACTTTAGACCCCATCATTTTCGGACGCCCAAGTGGATAAAATTGTTACTCCCACAGTGATACATTGCATATAGTTTTGGCTCGTGTTACTCCTCCTTTACAAACGATCAGTACACAAGAAAAATCAAATTACATAGTAGTAGTAATACAACCAATGGGAAAAATTAAGTCAAAGTTAGAACGATCATACTATGATCGTGGGTGTAGTAGGTTATCAAAGGCCAAATGCATATCAGATGATCCAATTCACTTTGTATTGAACTTCATAATAATTTTTTGATACAGATTGTCTTTGAAATTCCTGGTTCAAAATTAAAGTCATATTGCTTCTGTAACGTTATTGTTTAATTCAAATGCTCATTTTCTCATTAGACCTACAGTCAAAACGATTCCCCAGGGAGAGAGATATGAGCAAATTGGATAGCTCAGTATTTTCAATTTGTCAATCAAATTCACTAACATGAAGAGCTGAATTTGCTTGACCATATGCAGTTGTACTTTTAACAAAAAGTTTTGCTTGATCATAATATTATAGCTTTCAAATGGAAAGGAATTCAACATTTACGAAAAACTTGTTTGGATAGAGAAAGGAACTCGTGTAACACTTTTTTACTCGACTTTCTACAAAGCAAGTTATATTTTGACATATGGGCAAAGGATTTACTGCCTTTTCTGTGGAGAATTTTGTTTGGGAATCTTTCATTGAAAAATCAGTTTGATATATTCATACGTAAAAGAAGGCGTAAACTGTAAAGATTGATAAACAAAACATGATCACCTTAGATGCTCTCCTTCGTTCTCTCTTCCGCAAATTGGAAAATATCAATGGAAAGGGGTTCTAAGAGCTGGAGTTGCTGCAACACACAAGTTGCAGAGCGAATGGTCCAAAAGACACGCTACGATGATAAGGCTCCGAAGGATTGTTAGTAAGTAAACTTAATTTGATCTAATTAATATTGGGTTATTCAAATTATTAACTTGGACCACAAGTCAAATTACAGATATCATTGACAAACTTAAATTTTATGTTTGAGTGTCCCTATTATTAAATTTCAACACTTTATAGTTACCATAAATAACCATTAGATAATTGTAATTTATCGCTCCATATATCTTACAAATCATTATTTAAAAATCTCACAAATAAGTAGTACTACCACTAGCACAAAGACCCTCTATTACGAACACTCCAGCTGGGATCCTCTACCCAAAATTTTCCTACACAATCTTGTACAAACTCTATTACGGTGCCGTTTCATAAAATATTGCACCCACAGAGATTTTCTTTTTTTCCATTTTTTTTATTTACACAATTCACCTATTTGATAACTAGTCAATTATACTCAACAATTTTTCCCCCAGCTGGCTTGAGCCAAGCCGGTCGTCATATGAACAAAAGTAATATTTTGTCAATATCCTACACATCTATTTTCTTTCATCGCCGTCTTCGTCATCTCCAAAACAATTCATCGCCGTCATCTCTCCATTGAAGAAAACATCGCCGCTCTCTTAATAGGCATTTGATTTGTATCGACTTACAATTGATACATGAATAGATTTGCTATGATGATTAAAATAAGCTAGTATTGTCACAACCCCCAACAGTTAAACTAAGGGTTTGCCAATTGCCTAATTCTTTTAGGCTTTCAAAACTTCTAAATTTTTGTGTTAATTTAATGTATTTTGTTGTTACTTTTGGGCCCATATAGATGTTGTGCAACCTATATTTAAATTAGATGCTTTGACTTTTCATTCAAACATGACATATTGTTCTTGTTATGGTCTCTAATCTGTTGATTCATACTAATTCATTTGAATATTGTGTCAATAGAGTTATTTTTACTATGTTATTCTCTAGATCATTAAATAATCCATACAAGATTGTAGGTTTTTAGTTCAGATACAACAATTCTAGTAACGGAGGATGACTCTGCACCACAACATGGAGTTGAGTTTAAGAACAAAGGGCTACATGAGTTCGCTGAAATTGTCGATGAGGGCAGTGATGCAACTGATTTAATGCATCCAGATACTAGTGAAAATACAGATGAAGTTCACTCATTTGTTCCGCAAGATCTGATCCCGACTGTTGGCTTGGAGTTCGAGAAAGCTTTTTAATTCTATTTAGCTTATGCCAGATAAGTCGGATTTGGAATAAGAAAAGCCAATAGCTACAACAATATGTTTGGTAAATTGATAGGTGGACTTTTTCTTTGTAGTGATGAAGGTACAAGGAAGCATGATAAGAGAGATCCGTATGTAAAAGCACCTCAGCCAGAAACAAGATTTAATTGTTAGGCTAGAATGAGAATTCAAAGCATTGTGACGAGGAAGTATCAAGTAACTCACTTTTTGGATAATCACACTCACTATCTTTGCAGTCCTTAAACGACACATCTGGATAATCAACTTCTGCAAAAATTGATCGGCTAAGCGAAGTGGGGATTGCACCAAAAGCATCAAATGATCTTATGGTAAGAGAACGAGGAGGAAGGGATTCTATTGGCTTTATTCTTGAAGATTATAAGATTTATTTATGGTTGAAGAGGATAAGAGAGATGAAAAAGGGGGTACCGAGGGAGTGTTATAATATTTGCACCGAATTAAATTTGAGAATCCTAACTTCTTCCAAGCAATTCAAGTTGATGAAGATGATTTGATAACTAATTTTTTCTGGTCAGATGCAAAGATGAGGAATGATTATGCCGATATTGGTGATGTTGTTTGTTTTGACACCACTTACAGGAAATAGTGAGGGGCGTCCACTTGCTTTGTTTGTAGGTGTAAACCATCACAAGCAAACTAGTATTTTCGGTGTTGCATTACTAGATGATGAGACAAAGGCAACATTTAAGTTGTTATTTGACACATTTGCCAACGCCGTGTCAGGGAAAAAGCCTGTAACTATGTTTACTGATGGAGACCGTCCAATGGCAAATGCGTTAAAAAATAAGTGGCCTGAAACCCATCATCGACTTTGCATATGGCATATCTTTCAAACTACTGTAATTCATTTGTGTGGTGTCTTTTCTCGGTTTATTTTGAAATTATTTCAACTTTTAAGTTTTGTTATGTTAAATAGTATCATTTCTAGAATAATATCTAGATATATTTTGTTACCATTGGAAACTCTTTAATTTTTTTTAAAATTAATTATTTAAATATTCATTAAAATGATCAATTTAGGTCATTCCAACACTGTTACATTAACATAAATATAAAATTTTAAAAAATTGATTAC